CGTACGTTGTTATATTATAAGCAAACGTTACACGCCTTTGTAATAATAATAATAATGAACTTTATTGATATCGTATCCTTTATAGGATCTTGAGTTAAATTACAATAAAGTGTGGATGAAAAAAACAAAACAAGAAAGACAATAAGATAAAATATCATCAAAATGATAACAGAAAAAAAAAAAACCTTGCAGATATGCCTTGATATTAATATAGTTGTATAATAAAGAAATAAAGTGCATGTTGAGAGATAAGTCCGCATGTTTACGAGACGTCCCTCACACATGGAATGTATTTACACGCAACCCGGATCAAATTTGAATTGAAACAAATTGAAACAAAGAAGCGTCTGCCGTTGCTTGGTCAGGATAGAGAGACAATTTTCATGGGTAAATGCTAGTAGAAGACTTAGCCTCAATGCCCCAAATACTTCGACCTAACCACTTTATTTGTACAAGTAGAAAAAGTGTTATGTTTCGTTAAAACATAGACCTTAGAAAAGATAATAACAATAAAATATACGGTTCATATATATACTCTCAAGCAAAGATCCTGGCATAATTATAAAACTTGCCAATTATATTTACACAACACAAATATTTATTTAACATTTAAATCCTAGTTAAGTCCTTTTGTATTGTTTTTTGTACAATTCTTACATATATCTTGTTATTATTTTAAAACTCTTTTTTGCTGTACTTATCCTATGTAAAAAATTTTACACGAAGGCAATACAGTTATTATTATTATTATTACTACATGCCCGGGAACTTCACGTTCAAGTATCCAACTTTCCAATACAAAACATGATTAGTATCAGCAATAATTTCTAGTACTGCCTGGATAATTGCGTATTATTAGTTGACATTTTTCTTGTGGTGTTTTTCGTCAATGTATTGAATATAAGTGCGTTGGGAAATAGCATAATTATATTGCGTGAGTGAAAAAGGCTGGTGATACTGTGTCATAACGCAGTTGAATGCGTTCTATTTATTTCCAACGCGCGTGGTCAGCGCCTCTGATTGAGTTTATTTTGTATTTTTATTTTCGAAATGTATCACTGGCTGCGTTTTTTGTTGTTACGTCTCGCAAATGTCAAAGTAGTCTGGTTGAAACGTGCGTTCCCATTGGTCGACAGAATCAACAGTTTATAATAATAACTTTATTACACAACTGCACCATCAGTGGTTGCTGTATGGTAAGGATACAGATCAGAAAAAACAAACACAAATAAACAAAAACAACAAAAGTTTCAAAATTACAAACAAATCAAAGGGTATATATAAAATACGTATTACAATTAGGTTTTATAAATTGTATTTTTTAAGTATTTTCTAATTTACAATCTTCTAAGAGGGTATTTCTTTCTTGAGTGAAGAAGCAACAGTCAAGGATGAAATGTTTTTCATCTTCTACAGTACCTGTGTTGCATTTTTTACACAATCTGTAATTTGCCTCCATTCTTGGAAATTTTCTCCTGCCCAATTCAATTTCCAAATTATGGTCACTAAGTCTAAACTTGGTAACCATTCTTCTCAAATTGAAGTCCTGAATTTCTGTTAAATATCCTTCAAATTCATATTTCATTTTAAACAAATTATACGTTCTTAGTTTGTTTCCTGATTTTCCGTTTTTTGGGACATGACTAAGTTGCTGATACCATGTTTGTATATATTTATTTTTTAATTTTTCTTCTTTCTTTAAGTGCACTTTTTAGAATATGATTTTCAGGTAACAATGTCAATCTGTGCCAATATTTAATTAGCGATAAATTTGCCTTAATCCTTATAGGAATTCTACCAATTTCGCCTCTTATGCCAATCAATGGTGTTACTTTACTAACACCTAAAATAAACCGGTAAAAGTGGTTGCATGCTTGCTCCAAATCTCTGACCCATATAACAAAATTGGAGAGATGAGTTGATCAAAAAGTTTAAGGCTTAGTTTTGTAGAGATCATTTTATGATTTAGTATAGTGTG